CTTCCTCTGATAATCTAGAAAAGCGTTTTCTTTTAGCCTCACTGGGTTCCATTATCGATCATCGCTGGTTGAAACTGAAAACTGGCAGTGCAGGTCCGCCCTCGTCAATCAAGCTGACGTGAGCACGTGCTGAAGATCATGCCATTTTTAAGTTAGTCATGCACTGATCACGTGCTGTTGTATTAGACGCGCGGGCAACAACTGCCCAATTGTATCCCGGTCGGGATACTTTTGAATTTCATCAGGGGCACGTGACCAAGAATCAAAAAATCACAGTGCTCGTTTTGTTGAGTGAAAGTCTAGTTTTATAACAATGCTTCTTATTCGATGGTAAATACCTATTAACTCACACTAACGTACCTTCACATTTTTGTCCAGAATATTCTGGTAGACACATACAATAATAATGCAGATAGCCTATGTCCCAGTCCATTGGAAAGCCTGTGTACTTGCTAAAAGTGTCGATACAGGTGCCACCATGTAGGCATGGGTTTGTTACACAAGGATTGGGAACTGTTGAGAAAAGTGTATCACTGTTAGGCATGGAACGAACTAATCAAGGTATCAAGCGATGTGTCAAATTCAATGGACGCGTATGAAAAAGACAACAATTTCCATTGTGATCATGCTGAGGACGAAACAACACGACCACAATATCATGGAGATAGTTCATATTACAGATATTAAACTTGCCATAACAATACTTGATTTTCTTAGTCTATACTAATGTACTAAGAGCTTGAAAAGCACAACAATACACTGAAAAGCTGAACTGATCAAGCAAAACTGCGTAACTGCAGCTAGGTGCGGGGAATCATAAGATGAATACAAAAGATGCAAACGGTCCACTTATGCCACTTTTTAATCACCTGTTCTTTTCTATGTTTAAATTTGTGTTTGGGCAGTAATCAGTCTAGATAAATCTGTCTTCATTAAGCTTTCATGGGGTCGACAGTCATTGATTTGCCAGGCAGCTCGTAAGGAAGAATATAGAATGTAGAACATTCAGTTAACTGGATGTGTAGCAATCTGTTCGCCATGCATGTGACATGCACATCGCCCAAACAAAGTCAATAAAATAGCTTACTTTCACAATTCTCTCCTTTATAAAGGAAGGAGCAAATGCATCGATAAGTCCAGGAAAATCCTGCTCTCCTCGGAACACACCTGCCGTCATTTAGACAAGGGTTGGAATCACATACATGCACTGAAAGAAGAAAGAATCACGCAGTAAAACACAGTTGATATTCAATATGTTCAATTTGTTTTACGTGTGCTAGCCACCAAACTTCTCTAAAGGGTAGTAAATATTATTACTTTCACAGTATGGAGGACTACATCAGTAAATAAACTTACCTGTATAGTATGTGCACGTGACTAAAAATACTGCTTCCCGTTTTGCGATCGGTGTAAGGTTTTGTTTTTTTCTTTTTTGAATTTGTCCACCATGATCAGAGTTGCAATCTTAGGCCCGGTTCAAACGTTGAACTTCACATGGCCGAACGTAATACCAATTTGGGTCAACCTAAATAACTAAGTTCGCAGTCGATTCAAACGTCAAACCTAATTAAGTCGAACTTAATTGCAGAAATAAAAGAGACACTATTGCAAACGGCGGTTATTGCTGACCAAAATGGCAGAAAAATATTCTGGAAAGACAAATTGTGGAAATGAAGACCTTGCTTGCTTTTCCTGCAAGTGCGATCAAGGAGTCGAAGAAGGCGACTCCGGATGTAGTTAGCATTAAACAACCGAAGATGATTTTTGAATTTGGTTTGCCTGATATTATTGCTTATTCCCAAAGGAACATCACAGTTCCTCGTCCAGCTCGTTCCTGTCGTCGGTTTCTTCAAGATTCATTTATTTTGTCATTTTCTCTCAAAAACATGAATCGCAGTACGCCACCGAACTACCTGCTTTCCAACCCGCTACACTCTCATTTTTTTCCAATACGGAACACCGCATACAGAAGTGGTTTATGCACATCAAGCAAGTATATTTCGTGCTCTCGAAGCAGGAGGAACACATATCCTCTCGCTCTTCCCGCTCTTCTCGCCATTCTGTTCCAAAAGATCAAAACAAGCTGTGTGCGCATGACAAAAATAGGAAACGTGCAGAACTCTGGGTAAAAATTGATTTATTTAATGTAGTTTGTAATGTATGCATTAGGTTCGGTACAAGAAAAGTTCGACGTTTGAATCGGAGTCGCTCCGTAGTCGAACTGACCGATTGGCCACGTCGAACTTAATTCTCGGGTCGACCCAAATAACATCTGTAGAACTTAATTGATTCAAACGTCGATCTCGTTATGTACTTAATTGGGGCTATTAGGTTCGGCTCCAGTTCGACGTTTGAACCGGGCCTTAAGATTCGTTATGGAGGACCACGTCAGTGAATAAGCTTACCGTTACAGTATGGAGGGCTACATCATTAAATAAGCTTACCGTTACAACATGGAGGGCTACATCAGAAAATAAGCTTACCGTTACAGAATGGAGGGCTACATCGGTAAATAAGCTTACCGTTACAGTATGGAGGGCTATATCAGTAAATGAGCTTACCGTTACAGTATGGAGGGCTATATCAGTAAATAAGCTTACCGTTACAGTATGGAGGGCTACATGGGTAAATAAGCTTACCGTTACAGTATGGAGGGCTACATCGGTAAATAAGCTTACCGTTACAGTATACGTATGGAGCGCTATATCAGTAAATAAACTTACCGTTACAGTATGGAGGGCTATATCAGTAAATAAACTTACCGTTACAGTATGGAGGGCTGTATCCTCGTGGACAGACACAAGGGAATCTTGAGTCGTCTTCAACACATTCACCGCCATTTTTACAGGGGTTGGAGAAACATGCTCTTCTTTCTGAATAGAACAAGATCGTGGACAGAATTATCACGAAAACAATCTTTAATTACTGATGGTTGATTTAGATAGACTCATCAAGGACTGCAATGGATTCATTTACTTAGGGAGTGACCGATTTTTTTCATTCTTTTACCCCGTCAAATCTTTCGGTGATGGCAAATATCGAGAAAGAAGAGGCGATAAAACGATTAAGGATACCAAGTACTCTTAGACAAAGCTAAAACACTTTGTTTATCTCACTTTCACACACTTTTCCTTTGAATTCTTCCCTGCAAATACATTCGTGGAAGCCGTGTCTCTGTTGGCACGAGCCGCCATGCTGACAAGGGTTTGGGTCACAATAATCCAGGTCTATAGCAGTAAGATAAGGAAATAACATTATTATTATTATACTAGCTGTGTCACCGCGCTGGCGCCATTTATCGACACTGGTGAAGTCAGACCCTTCACATTAATATTTTACCATGCACTGGTACAGTAAATTAAAATCGGAGATCAAAGATTGCACAGTAACTAAACTAATAAAGTAGTTTGGTGGCCTTCGAACGAATGAAAAACTCAGTGACAACAACGAAACGTAAAATGCAGTTCTGTGGTTATCTTATGAATAAACTGCTCCGTTTCAATCTTCATTTTTAGGACTTAGTTACTTGCCAGTGCTGTCTGGGATTGTATTAAACTGCTGATTATGTGCAATTATGGAATGGCATGCGAGGATTTTCCTTTATCACTGACCTTCGCAGTGTTTGCCTATGAATCCAGGTCTACAATAACACTTGTAATTATTTTCAGTCTCCACGCATTCTCCATCATTCTTGCAGGGGCTTGGTTTGCAAGCGTTCTTTTCTAAAATGAAGGTAATCAAAAAATGCAACGCTTAGAAACGAGTTCAGCTGTGAACTTTATAGGTTATTACTTGACAAATAATAGAGGAGTCGAGGAGAAAGGGGAAAGCAAAAGCTTAATTATATTAACTTTACCCTCCTTAAAGTTTGCCCACTGTGATACATTCGTTTCACTTATCGAAAACAAGGTTAAGTTGGTATAGTGTATTTATACCTTGGCGCAAATGTAAAAACATTAAAGTGCTAATTTTGGAAAAGCGTTAACTAATCAGCTTAAACAACATGCCATTACATTTAAGAGATTCCAAACATACTTTAATTAAAGTAAATTTACACGTGTAAAGTATATTATTTGTTTTACCTTCACAGTTGTAACCCATGTATCCAGGTTTGCATTGGCACTGGTAATTGTTTTCTATTTCCTCGCAAGTTCCTCCATTTTCGCATGGGCTTGATGTACAGTACAACTTGGCTGTAAACACAATTACAATTTGAAATGTGACAGAGCATAATTGATCAACATCTCTATATAGTTACCTTATTACATGAAATTTTCGTGACACGTTAATTTCGCGGTTTTGAGGTTCGCATATTTCGCGACACCTTAATTTCGCGATTTTGCGAAAACTTTGCATTTTGCTCACTTTAATTTCGCGTTTTTGAGTGAGACACACTATATTTCTTTGTCAATGTTATTTAAGATGTCCCTGAATTTGATCAAACAACTTAATCAACAACGTCCAAATAAACAGAAGCGCAACTGATTATGTAAACAGTAACAAGAAAGATGTTCTCACAGTGTCTACAAGGCAATTGAAAGGTTTAAGCAACTAATGGAACAGCACTACAAGGAGCCAGTAAATGGACAGTTTGAGGATTGTACAAAAGAAGTGCTACCTGGAGTGGAGACGGAAAGCAGTAGTGATGAAGAGG